GGGCCGGCTTCTTCCCCTCCAATGGCCTCTCTTCCTCAGTGTTGCTGTCTGAGTTGCCATACTTCCAGGGAAAGATATTAGCGGGTGCACACATTGTTTATGGAGTAATGGGGCATCCTGCTGCCAACCAACCCCACCCAGATACCACTGTGTTGGTCCCCCATTGTACATGATGAACAGGGCTGTCCAGGCTAACACAAAGCACTGAACGGCCCTGCCCGCAGCGTCCCTAAAAAATGTGGTGCTCAGGGCAACTGCCCCCATGGCCCCGCCATGCTATGCCCCTGCTCTGATCCTTTATATGCGGTCATAAGAAAAAGACAAGCACTAGCCCATAGTATTTTTATACAGTGTATTCTTGAATAACGTTGGTAGCCATACAAGACACAAAACGTTTGTTTCAGACAATAACTGAGTTCTTTTTGGGTCTGAGTTGGATGTCAATGTCCTGCTGGGATGTCTCAGATATCAAAACTGCAAACACCTCCCAGGAAGACTTCACACTGTGCTCCCGTCTTCAACTCCAGCCAGTGGCTGAACTACCGCCGCTGCAGGCGGTGCGGACGCACCAGGGCCTCCGGCCTCTAGGGCCATCTCTGCGTAGAGAGTGTGCGGCATGAACCGGTCAGACTACATCATATGTCCTGCTCCCTTTCCAAATGAGGACATTATGTGAAGGAAAGGAGCTAGAAGTCCACGTTTCAGGGCTCATTAAAGAATGAAATAAAAACATACAGACTCCATTATATATCCCAGAAGCATGGTCATGATCAATATTTATTAAACAAACATGTAAACAATGTACAAAGAGATCTTTAAACTAAAGCCACAAACTATAGATTTAGGAATTGATTTGGAACTCCGATATTTGTTGCCCATAAAGACCAATTCATTGTCCTTCTTTCTTATTTCTAAGGCAACAAATCGTTTCTTAAAGGAGAACTATGGGGTCAGTGTTTTTCCCCATAGTTCTCCTTAGGGTAACGGGAGGACACAAACTAGCGTCCACACGTCACCCTAAGCTCAGTATACCGTGAGGTACAGCTCGCGGTATACTGAGACGCCGCAGCCGGAGCGGATCCCGACTTAGCTGACGGGATCCGTCCAGCTGCGTGAGTGACCGCTGGCTCTGCCTATCTAGAGGCAGAGCCAGCTGTACCCGCCCCCTCCCCCGTCCGTTCCGCCAGTCAGCGCTGGCGGATCGGAGCGGGGAGGGGGGAATCCAGCCCCTCCCCCTGTCATGGCAGAGAGCCGTGACAGGATCGAGAGGTGAGCGAACCAGGTATGTGTTCGCTCACCTCCCGATCTACTGAGCCGACCTGTAACAGTCTCATTGTCACAGGTCGGCTAGAACTATGAGGTGAGTGGAAATCACTCATCTCATAGTTCTCCTTTAAATCTCAAAGAGTATAGTTATAGGAAACCTGTACAGGGTTCTCAGTAGAGGTGCACTCCGCCTGCAGACAACGCTGGATCGGAGAGACGCCGCACCGCTGGAGGGACACATGAAAACATGGGGAAAATAGAGGAAGATCGGAAAAAGAAACATCATTTAAGGTAAGTGCTAACATTTACATTGGGGGGGAGGGGAAAAAATTTTTGCCTTTAATATCACTTTAAGCCCTCAGGGGCAGGGCCCATCCTGTTGATGCTGCATTCCCATATACATACATGTAATGTCCTGCTAAGCAAGTAAAACTTAATTCAGCATTCCTCAAGATCTCAGTGCTTCATCTAAACACATCACCAACAATTGTTCCATTAGAGTCCCATCAAAACATAATGGGCGAAACAAAGCATGAATCTAAAGAAAGAAATGAACATGCTGCCTTTGTCAACTTATTTACAGTATCTCAGACAATTCTTTATATGATGTCCCGTATGTTGGTGATTATAGAAGATATGATTAGAAGGCTCATTGGTATGGAAGACCTCAGGTTGGCTCTATTGGTAGTTGAACTCTGGGAAGCCTGTTTTGGCTTCAGTGTGGAGAAATTATCAGTCTTGGCCGCTGTGGAGAAAGCATCGGTCTTTACCGCTGTGGAGTAATTATCAGTCTTCACCGTTGTGGAGAAAGCATCGGTCTTCACCGTTGTGGAGAAAGTATGGGTCTTCACCGTTGTGGAGGAAGCATCGGTATTCACCGTTGTGGAGAAAGCATCGGTCTTCACCGTTGTGGAGAAAGCATCGGTATTCACCGTTGTGGAGAAAGCATCGGTCTTCACCGTTGTGCTGCTGAACATTGTTTCAGTATTGAATGTGTAATTGAGATGACTCTTCTGGATTATCCAAGAGGTGAAGTTGGAGACTTTGGTGTAGACTCCGGGGATGCCGGGTGTGGCACAGCCAATGCCCCAGCTGACAATCCCAACCAATGACCAGGTGTCCCCTACTTGGCATGCCAAGGGGCCTCCTGAATCTCCCTGGAGAAAACAAAAACAAAGCAAAACATTAAATCACATAAACATTCAAATTCACCATTTCATCCATCAGGACCGGAATCTGGAGCAATGCAAAGCTGTAATGTGATGTTGTTTTTGGGGACCACCAAGCCATGTACTCATCCTAATTTTACCCAGGCATGTACTACATATGAGCATTCTTGTCCATTTTGTAATATTGTTTTCAACTGGTCTCTTTTGCTTGTACAAATTCCTCATTTTAAACTGGGAATCAAACTTCAACCAGGTTCAACATTAACTTAATTTTTTTTTCTGTGGCCTCAACTCTAAGTCTGCATTTAGCTCTACTGCCTCCTGGTGCTCAATCCCACCTTCACCATCCAACCCTCCAAAGTCAGAGCCTCAGTATTGTGACTTCAACTCCAAGTCTGCACTTAGCCCTACTTCCTCCTGGTGCTCCCACCTTCACCGTCCCTGCAAAGTCAGAGCCCCAGTATTGTGACCTCAACTCCAAGTCTGCACATAGACCTACTTCCTCCTGGTGCTCAATCCCACCTTCACCATCCAACCCTCAAAAGTCAGAGCCATAGTAGACTGTAGAGGCTTTGGCATTCCACTGTTGAATCGCAGTGGGGAGGCTTCACTCTGTAAAGTGATGAAGCTAGTCATCAGTTGTACCTAACGCTTGTTTCTGCTCCTTATTCCACTAGATCAAGGGTATTGAGATAAAATTCGAGAAGTAAACTTTTCCTCCTGCAGAGGTCTGAATCTCATGTTTGTGCTATGACTCATAGGAGTCCCTTCTTACATTAATTTTCCCCATCAGAGTGCCCCCTTACATTAATTTTCCCCATCAGAGTGCCCCCTTACATTAATTTTCCCCATCAGAGTGCCCCCTTACATTAATTGTCCCCATCAGAGTGCCCCCTTACATTAATTGTCCCCATCAAAATGCCCTCTTACATTAATTGTCCCCATCTGAATGCCCTCGTACCTTTCCTTAGCACATAGAGGGCAGGAGCTGGGAGGCAGAGCAAGCTGCATGTCTGGAGGGAAGAAGTTACCCTTCCATCCTCCTGTGATGCTGGGGGCAGGGCAAGCATGTGACATCATTGGTTGCTAGGACGACGCGGGTCCTAGCAACCAATAACTGCAGGGGAGTGGAGGCATGTGACATTACTGGTTGTTAGGCCACTGGCAGTCTTCTTTGGTGTAGACTCCGGGGATGCCGGGTGTGGCACAGCCAATGCCCCAGCTGACAATCCCAACCAATGACCAGGTGTCCCCTACTTGGCATGCCAAGGGGCCTCCTGAATCTCCCTGGAGAAAACAAAAACAAAGCAAAACATTAAATCACATAAACATTCAAATTCACCATTTCATCCATCAGGACCGGAATCTGGAGCAATGCAAAGCTGTAATGTGATGTTGTTTTTGGGGACCACCAAGCCATGTACTCATCCTAATTTTACCCAGGCATGTACTACATATGAGCATTCTTGTCCATTTTGTAATATTGTTTTCAACTGGTCTCTTTTGCTTGTACAAATTCCTCATTTTAAACTGGGAATCAAACTTCAACCAGGTTCAACATTAACTTAATTTTTTTTTCTGTGGCCTCAACTCTAAGTCTGCATTTAGCTCTACTGCCTCCTGGTGCTCAATCCCACCTTCACCATCCAACCCTCCAAAGTCAGAGCCTCAGTATTGTGACTTCAACTCCAAGTCTGCACTTAGCCCTACTTCCTCCTGGTGCTCCCACCTTCACCGTCCCTGCAAAGTCAGAGCCCCAGTATTGTGACCTCAACTCCAAGTCTGCACATAGACCTACTTCCTCCTGGTGCTCAATCCCACCTTCACCATCCAACCCTCAAAAGTCAGAGCCATAGTAGACTGTAGAGGCTTTGGCATTCCACTGTTGAATCGCAGTGGGGAGGCTTCACTCTGTAAAGTGATGAAGCTAGTCATCAGTTGTACCTAACGCTTGTTTCTGCTCCTTATTCCACTAGATCAAGGGTATTGAGATAAAATTCGAGAAGTAAACTTTTCCTCCTGCAGAGGTCTGAATCTCATGTTTGTGCTATGACTCATAGGAGTCCCTTCTTACATTAATTTTCCCCATCAGAGTGCCCCCTTACATTAATTTTCCCCATCAGAGTGCCCCCTTACATTAATTTTCCCCATCAGAGTGCCCCCTTACATTAATTGTCCCCATCAGAGTGCCCCCTTACATTAATTGTCCCCATCAAAATGCCCTCTTACATTAATTGTCCCCATCTGAATGCCCTCGTACCTTTCCTTAGCACATAGAGGGCAGGAGCTGGGAGGCAGAGCAAGCTGCATGTCTGGAGGGAAGAAGTTACCCTTCCATCCTCCTGTGATGCTGGGGGCAGGGCAAGCATGTGACATCATTGGTTGCTAGGACGACGCGGGTCCTAGCAACCAATAACTGCAGGGGAGTGGAGGCATGTGACATTACTGGTTGTTAGGACACTGGCAGTCTTAGCAACCAATGACTGCAGAGGAGGTGGTGAAACCAGCGTTAGGTTATGACTAGTGGAAATGTCAGCCTCGGAGACTCTCTGGCATTCACCATCAGCCAGCCATAACCCAGCACATGATGAATGATCGTGATTCCTGCACTAGATTGTAGGCCGGTAAAGGAAGACATCTTATAGTATCTTTCTTTGTAAGTGCTAAGCAGTGAAATGTACTCTTTGTTCTTCCATTATCATCACAGCTTAGCCTTTCTTATAACACTACTTGGTACAGCAATGCTGGGGAGGATAAGAAAGGAAGTGCTACACACCTGGCAACCATCTTTGGATTCGTTGGCATAACCGGCACAGATCATGTCACTGCGGATAGAACCCGACGTGTAAAGTTCTGGGTACTTAGCGCGGAACATGTCATCACAAGCCGGGGCATTTATCAGGGGGAGGTCCACTTCTTGTAGGGTGTATGGCACAGGCAATTTAACTGGAAAAAAAAGACATCAATAGGGATAAGTGGTCATTTGTGCCAATCATGATTTAACAGTAAAGTTCAATTTTAGCATTTTCCGAAATTGTGCCAAACTAGCCTCTAATTTCTCAGCGCAAGACAAAAGTCTTGCGATGGTTGTAAGGTGTGTGCCCAGCATTAGGTGAAGTAAATTAATTAGCACATTCACCCACGCAACCATTTATATGACCATATTATATGGTCCATATGACT